CGGCACACCATAACATATGTGACATGCTCTCCTTCGCCATGACTCAAAGCACCAGGGGTTTAATTGTTCCCCGATAGACGATTTCTGCTATGGCGCACGCGCGGATCCCATGCTGCAAAGAGGTACCGTGACTGCTCGTTGTGTTTGTCGAGGGTGCTTCGCCCAAATCCGATGCAGATTAGTTTCTTTCAAATATAATAACATATAAACTCTAAAGTTTGCAGGACAACAAAACATTATAGTGCAACATAAATACTAAATAACATTTTGTACTAAATAAATATCATTCTATGTATTTATGGTATCCCCAAAATCCTCACGCCTTGTAGCTCTAAGGTTCATTGATCCACGAAGTTTAAGGTCCGTATATTGTTTCATTTGAGAGAAACAAAAAAGAGAAAAAGAAATCATGTAGTTAATTAGCTAGCAGAAATCTCAAATCAACATTGGAGGATGAGGATAAGGGGTAGTGTGCTTGGGCCTGGAAAACCCACTCTCAAGGTGGGCGCTAAGGCGTTGTCCGGTTGACGCGAGCCAGTGAGTTGGATACGTGCATGTTGTCCATCACTTGACCGTTGCAGTTTTGTGTCCTGCTTCAACGCAACACCCCATCCCCCTTCCCTATCGTGAAGCACCTGCGAGGACGAATCATGGGCGGTTGCCTTTCAGCCTAGGTGAGATTGCGGCCACCACCACACCCCAACATAGGGCCCACCTGCAAACAACACCCCCTCCCATCCCCTCGAATATGGCCCTATGGCGCACCATATCGTCTGCGACATGCTACTCCTTCGCCATGACTCGAAGCTCCGGGGTTTCGATGGTTCCCCCTGTTCACCGATGGACGATTCTAGCTGTGGCGAGCGGCGCAGATCCCATGCTGCAAGAATGTACTGTGATATACTAGTTGTGTTCGATGAGGGTGCCTTGCCTAGATCTGGTGAGGATGCTTCTAAAACCCTAGCCACCTAATTCTCTCGTACGAGTGTATGTTACTCAAGGAAAAAATATATTTTGTAGCATCTTATTGCTTCAGTAGCAGGAACCATAAGCCCCAAAAAGATTATCTAAACATTGTATATTTTGCCAGTTGGAAACTTTCGTTAGCAAAAAGACAACAAAACACTTGCACCAACTTTCATTAGCAAAAAGACAACAAAACACCTGCAAATAGTGCATCAACTTTGATCTCTCTGATTTGTATCGTTTCCCACGGACGATTGCTTATGCACGACTGCATATTCTTTTTTCCCCGGAGAAAGAGATTGCCTACTGTTTCTTTTTTTTTAGGATCAATTGCCTACTGTTTCTTTTTAAATCTTTTTGAGAGAGCCTACTCTTTTTTTTTTGCGAGCCTACTGTTGTTTTTTTTGTGAGCCTACTGTTTTTTTTTCTGTGAGCCTACTGTTGTTGATGGAGCGCGGGAAAGTAGTGGGCTTTGGCTGGCACGGGTGTGGGCAACGGGTCCGTGGGCCTGGGCTCGTGCGTTTGCCGGGCAGACAAACCCAGGTCGATCGGCAGTTCCGCCTCGATCGCCCTCCTCTCTCGGCCGCGATCGATCGCACGCACGGCGGCACGACGGAGAGGGGCGGCACACCGCCACGCGCCGACCGGCCTGGCCTCCCTCTAGATTTTTCTCTCCTCCTCTGCCCCGCGCGCGCCGGGGCCGGAGGGTCGGTCGATGGGCAACGCGAGCGGCAGGCTGGAGGACATCGCGGACGCCGAGATGGACGAGGGCGGGCGCGGAGGCGGCCACGTGCGGCGCGCGTCGTCGACGGGATACGTCGGGGGCGTGAGGGGTGGCGGCGGAGGTGGCCCCGGAGGAGGGGGTGGAGGGTCGTCCTCGCCGGGAAGCCCCCCGCGGCCGCACTCGCCGCGCATGTTCGTGCCCCAGGTCAGTCAGATCGATCGTGCACGCATACACAGACGTAATTTAATCAAATCCTCCTCTCAATCCCGCGCCCGGTTTCGAATCATGGCGAGCCTCTTGCCTCCAAATCCCCAGTGCGATGCGACGGCGTGGGTCTCGCCTTATGCAGCAGCGCGCTTCTCGCTCGATCCGATGAGATCGCACCATGACCCCGAAGGCATCGATGGGTTAGAGCAGCCAGCCACGGTTAAGTGCTAATTTAGAACTACGGTTGATTTAATCCCTTGGCTATCTGCCTGTCGTCATTGTTATCTGAATGAAGACGTGTTGTCTGAAACTTCATGTTTGTGACAGTCTGACAGATGAACGATTGGTTCAGGTCAAAGAAAGATGTAGAGAATATTGAATATTTTCCTTGGCGAGATTGAAATACTGAACAGATTGACTTCACCTTCCCCGACCAGTGGCTTTCATCTAGAAATCTCCAGCTGGCCTCCCACCTGTCAACTTTGGATAGTTTAGTTTATACTTTATACTGTAAAAGAAAACCACTGGCAGTTTGTGTCTTTCGTTGATGTGTTTATTACCGAACTACTACCGGAAGTCCTTAATATTAACAGAGTTACACGGAGTGATTAGTAATTTGTTGCATCCAAATACTCAAAGAACAATTCGGTTGTGTATAGCATCTGTTCTGAAAATTTTGTGGTATACTAGTATTTCTTAACTAAAAGTCTGAAGGCCTACCTATCTTGTCAATGGGTTTTACCACCTCAGTCTCATTTTTGCCATAAGAGACTGTATATGTAGATCTTCTTACTCATATGGTTCTTATCACTTTGATATATCTTGTATGACAGAGCCCTGTAACTCCACTGCAAAGAGCTTCAGATGTGCCACCTCCGGTGTTCAACCAGATACTGATGCGTGATCAGGATGATTCCGACGGCCCCCCTCCAAAGAGGATCCCTACTTTGCTTGTGTGGCCTCATGGAGGCAAGTGTATCTTCGTGGAAGGATCATGGGATCACTGGACATCAAAGTACAAATTCTCATCAACCAGCAGTGACCTCCCCCCACCCCAAAACTGAAACTTGATGAAATGACATGCTTGAAATACTGACAGAGCCAAACCTATATGGCAGGAAAACCGTTCAGAAATCTGGGAAAGACCACACCATCCTGTTAGAGCTTCCATCAGGAGTTTACCGGTACAGATTCATCGTCGACGGGGAAAGAAGATACCTCTCCGATCTTCCCTGTGAGACCGACAACGTGGGCAACATCGTGAACCTTCTTGACGTGAATGTGAGTATTCATTTGTTACTGATCTTACTGATCAAGGTGTGCATATATGTTCATGGTATCCATTTGATCATCGGCGATGCAACGCAATTGATGCAGGACTTTGTGCCGGAAAGCGTGGAGAGCGTGTCGGAGCTGATGGCGCCGCCCTCCCCGGACTCGAGCTACGGGTTCCAGATCCCTGAGGACAAGGAGTTCGCCAAGGAGCCCCCCACCCTGCCGGCGCAGCTCTACCTTGGCGTGCTCAACTCGCGGAGCGCGGAGCAGCGGGAGTGCGCGCGTCCGAGGCATGTGGTGCTGAACCACCTCTACATCGAGAAGGGGTGGGGCGCGCAGCCGCTCGTGGCGCTCGGCCACACCCACCGATTCCGGTCCAAGTACGTCACCACCGTCCTCTACAAGGCCATCGAGCGATAGCGCTTACCGTAGCGCATGATGCCGCTGCCGCCGAACAGAAGCGAGAAGATTTTCACCCCTCATGTCTGTGCCGGTCGGATCGTGCACAACTGCATAAACAAGCTGTAATTTTCATATAGAGATCATGTTCATTTTTTCTGTTGAGACAGCTGCAGTCATTTGTCAAGAATAAAATCAGAGTAACACAAGATTATGGAGCGTGTCACTGCTCATACGCCTGGTTTTGAAGGTGCTCAACTGCTCATGAACAAAGTTGATGCTGTTTAAATTCTTAAGAAAAATGACAGGAAAAAAAACTTGCATTTTTTTAAAGAAAAAAAGGGGGTGATCTGCTTCCCGGGCATACTGGAAAGAGGGTAGCCCAGAGGCCCAACAATGAGCGGCCGTGGTGCCAAATGGCCCAGTGTCCTGACGAGTGAAAATCTGCAGAGCTGGAGGACTGATTGGCGAAATTGGGCACTCCGCGTCCCAACCGCGTGGGGGCTATTTCCGTCATTTCTCCCCTGTTTGAAAGATGCCAGCGGACAGTGCATTATCGAGAAATTCCTTCCTTGTGCGGCCCCACGTGTCGGCGCCGTCCACAGAGATGCACGGGCCTTTGGCCCTAACGGAGCGCCCGATGTTACCAAATTGCCCCTGGTAGAGCATGATCCGTATTTTTGCAAATTTCCATGTGTTACCGTCTTCTAACTCTTTTCGTATGTTTTTCTTTTATCTTGATCTTCTATGTTGTTCACTACATACATTTTTCGGAATGTCTATTGTGGAGGTGTAAATATAATTGTGCTATCATCCTCGTTAAGAAAAGGACACCTTTGAATATATTTCTAAGAGGAATTTTGGAAGACTTTTAGGCGTGTGAGAAGTATACGTGCGACCCAAAAAGATTCCATACGCGTAGAAGCCGTGTATTTGTTCTTTACAAAATAATACTATGCTATGACGCCTATCGCCGTCCTCGTTCCACAATCGAGCAGCTGTACCTTATCGTTGTTTTAGAGAAGGATAGATGAATGTGTTGAGGAAGCAAGTGAGAATACAATATTCTTTGGTTTGATCCCCTTGTACATATACACGTCTTAGGCTAAGTAATAGAGCCAATCATACACGTGTGCGCGGCCAACTTACTCATAGACCAATCCATTATATCGAGTCTTCATCTACCGGTCCATTGCCATGCTCCATCTCTCTTTTTGAGATGTCCAATCTTTTGACGCCTAGTACTAAGTCATAATGTCATCTACTCCCTCTGTTCCTAAATATAAGTCTTTGTAGAGATTCCACTAGGAACCATATACGGATGTATATGGATGTACTTTAAGTGATGATTCATTCATTTTGCTCCGTATGTAGTCCACTTAGTGGAATCTCTACAAAGACTTATATTTAAGAACGGAGGAAGTAGAATCTATCAAAAATCACCAACACATTTGACATCGGTACACAATCATATGCACATGCAGCTTCGAAACATGATGAGGAAACATGGAAGGCCTAAATGCACACACATGAGGTGGGATCACACAATCATGACGATGCACGACCAAGACAAGTCAAGAGAAATACACGGAGCATACTAGAACCTAGCCATAAAACAAGTTGCATTAGTTTTCTGCCCAAGTTAGGTGATCATCACATGGTTATTCCATGAATTCGTGCCTCTCACCACCTACCAAAGCATACCAAATGCGCATTAGAAAATCACAAGTGGCACATACCATCATCTTTCTTCTACTCCCTCCGTTACTAAATATAAGTCTTTTTAGAGATTTCACTGCAAACTACATACAAATGTATATAGTCATATTTTAGAGTGTAAATTCACCCATTTCACTCCATATGTAGTCCATAGTAAAATCTCTAATAAGACTTATATTTACGAGTACTAGCAAGCAATTATTCGAGCCATATATATATATATATATATAGCGGTAATAAACCACAAGGGCGTCACGGGAGGGCGGCAGAGGGGCAGTTTGGGCAATCCGGCGCGCGGACGCTAACGGCCGCGTTTAGCGGAGCTGACGGTGGGCGTTGTATAAATCGAGCTGGGAAAATTCCACCGGACGCCACGCCACAGAACGCTCCCGGCCTCTCTCTGTTTGCTCTCGCGTCCGCCGCGCCCATCCTCGTCCGCGCCTGCGCCCGGCCCGTGCTCGCTCGCTCGCCGCCTCCCTCGCCTCGATCCACCGCGCCGGCGGCATGGCGGATCAGCTCACCGACGACCAGATCGCCGAGTTCAAGGAGGCCTTCAGCCTCTTCGACAAGGACGGAGATGGTGAGCGCGCCCCTCCTCCCTTCCCCCCTCCCGTCCCTCGGATCTCTCCGTCGCGCGACGCTCGCCGCCGCACGCGCGGTGCGCATTGCCACTGCCCCCTGCGCCCACCCTGTCGCGTCGAATTAGCGCCGCCCGGCGGTAGATCCGGCCCGGATCTGGGCATGGCCGCTGGCCGAACCGCGTCGCTGTCGTGTGCGGCCTAGTGGCGAGTAGATGATGATGATGTGCACGCGACGCTTATCTTCCGGGTTGACCATTTCGCGTCGCCGTCTAGGTTTTATTTTATTTTCCGGATCGCGTCGCGATCGCGCCCACTGTTGCTTCTAGAGCAACTTCGTCTGAACGACTCGTGATTGTTGACCGTGGACTGTCGCTGTGTACCACTAGCTTGCTTTTTATCACACTTTTTTCGATTTAGGTAGTTTAATTCATGTAGAGATCCCTGGAGATAGAGAAAAATCCCGCCATGTAGTACTATAGGGGATTTCATGAACATTTGATGATGCGATATAGGAAATTGATTCGGCTTTGAATGATCTGGCGGCTAAGTTTGTCTGAACACATATGGTTCTACTGTGGCTGGAATTCTTGTGTTGTACCATGATTTGGTTGAGGTTTTCCTAGTAGTCATGTAGAGTACTATAATGTAGTAAAAGTTTGGTTAATAACCGTGTAGAGCTCTCTTGGTTTGAACTTTCCATAATGAATTTACTGTTGCATTAATCTACTTTGATCTTGTTGTGTGAACTTATCAGCGAGGATAAATCTGTGTTTGAACTTTCCACAGCGAATTTACTGTTGCGTTAATCTATTTGATGTTATTGTGTGAACTTACCCACTGAGGATAAATCTGGGTTTGAACTTTTCACAGCGAATTTACTGTTGCATTAATCTACTTTGATGTTATTGTGTGAACTTATCACTGAGGATAAATCTAGATATGCACCTTCCCATTTGAACCTATGCAAGATATTCTCAGTATTGTACCATGCGTGGATATTCTCAGTATTAGCACCCTGCGTGGATATTCCTTACTGCTTTCAAACTCATTTAGACCTTATCAATTACTGGCAATAAGCAACTATTGTTTCTTTTTCTTCATAAGTTGATCTCCTGATTTGATTTGTAGTTAACAGCGATGGTTTCTGTTTTCTAAAGAAAATTTAATTTGTTTTAAGCACAATCAGTGTTCTGTGTTTGATCCTGGAGTTGGTTGTATGTATCTACAGGTTGCATCACCACCAAGGAGCTGGGAACAGTCATGCGTTCGCTGGGGCAGAACCCAACGGAGGCTGAGCTCCAGGACATGATCAATGAAGTCGATGCTGATGGCAACGGCACCATTGACTTCCCAGAGTTCCTCAACCTGATGGCCCGCAAGATGAAGGACACTGACTCAGAGGAGGAGCTCAAGGAGGCCTTCAGGGTGTTCGACAAGGACCAAAACGGTTTCATCTCTGCTGCTGAGCTCCGCCACGTCATGACGAACCTCGGTGAGAAGCTCACCGACGAGGAGGTGGACGAGATGATCCGTGAAGCCGACGTCGACGGTGATGGCCAGATCAACTACGAGGAGTTCGTCAAGGTCATGATGGCCAAATGAGCTCCGACCCAAATGCTCCGAAGACAGGAGGAGAATTGTGCATTGCATATTAGTTTAAGATGCAACTCTTATTTGATCGATTTCCAGTTAAGCATCCTACCTAGCTGTAGCTGCTAAAACGGATCGGACGACGCAATTCCTGCTATGTTCTCCAGTGTGTTTCCAGACCTCTTGTGTTTTATGTGAACTTGTGTCCTCCCTGGTGTATCCTGATTGCTGTTTGGCCCGTTTGTAGTATATTTTTTCATCAACTTCTGCTTGACTCATCTAGCATCAATGGAAAGCCGGTGTTTCGTATTTCTTCGACTCTTTATTAATTTTACAGATGTTATCCTGTGCTTGTTTCGCGTGTGAATGGCAGATGAAGATACATTTATTAATGTACTTTGTGATGCTGGATGAAATTTGAAATTTAAATTTAGCTGTGACAGAGAAGTATCAGGCTTAAATGTGCAGCTGGGTAGGTTGCAACAAACAATTTGCTGGATGATAGTAACGTTGCAGCCTGTGCCTGTGCCTGTGTGGAGTAGTAGGTAGCAACTACCACCGTGCTTGTTCCTTTTAAGGCCTGGAATTGCCTGTGCTTGTGGAAGAGTGGAACACACACACACACACACACACAAATGGAGCAGGAGAAGAAGCTCAAAGTGCTCTGCCTCCACGGCTTCCGGACGAGCGGGGGTTTCCTGAAGAAGCAGATCAGCAAGTGGCACCCTTCCATCCTCCAGCAGTTCGACACGGTTCTTCCCTCGACTCGATATCAGATTCCATTCCGTCTTCTGCTTTGCTCTCAAGTTCAACTCTGCTGGTTTTTCAGGTCTTCCCTGATGGCCAGTTCCCAGCTGGGGGCAAATCGGACATCGAGGGCATATTCCCCCCACCATACTTTGAGTGGTTTCAGTTCGACAAGGTATCTTCTTCAGTAGAAACCAGGACCGAAAATCAGCGCTTCTTCCAGCCTTCAGTTTGGTTCCCTGCTAACATCACTCGTGTGTTCCTATTGCAGGATTTCACTGAATACACAAATCTAGAAGAGTGCATTGCCTATCTGTGCGATTACATGGTGAAAAACGGGCCTTTCGACGGCCTGCTTGGATTCTCCCAGGTAAAGGAAACTACTTTCTCCAAAAGAACCGCATCCAACTGTTTGAGGCGCCTGTGGCAACACAGGATCTGCTGTGTGTTGAAAACATAGTTGTGCTACTATGTGTTAGTTCATCTATTAACTTCCCTTTGCTTCCAGGGTGCAACACTTTCAGCCCTTCTGATAGGCTACCAAGCACAGGTATTCCTCTTGAACTCTCAAATTCTGCCAACTTTGAGTCGTCGAGTTAAGTTCCAGAGATATACAAAGGAGCAAGAAACAACAGATCGGATCTGCAAATATTAATAAATCAACTGTGACACCCATCTACCGTTATTAAACAACAGTGTCCCCGCGATCTAGCAATTCAGTTAGTGGTTGAGAGTTTTTTGGCCCCTTTATTAATAGGAAACTCCTGTCCTGTCCATCCTGACAGAACAGTAAATTTTGATAAATTTAGCAGTGTCACATGCCACCCTCTAGGAAAGAGAAAGTTATTCTTCACGAGCATATGCCGAAGATATCATAATCTTATGCAGAACATGTTGATACAGGCTTGCATCCGTCTCTAAGTTAACAATTCTAATAGGTATTTACATGGACATGGAAATTTAGGCATGAGATATGGTTCTCGGAGGAAGATGTCCTCCAAACCTTGTTCTGCTTCTGGTTCCATGTGGATTCTGACTAGGTTGAATGATTTAGGGCAAGGTGCTGAACGATCACCCACCAATTAAGTTCATGGTGTCAGTATCCGGGAGCAAATTCAGGGACCCAAGCATCTGCGACGTGGCCTATAAGGACCCGATCAAGGCGAAATCTGTCCATTTCATTGGAGAGAAAGACTGGCTCAAAGTACCTTCCGAGGAGCTGGCTTCTGCCTTTGCTGACCCTCTCATCATAAGGCACCCCCAGGGTCACACTGTCCCCAGGCTAGGTTTGCACTCTCCCCTGTCTTTCCATGCAAATAACTGTCGAAATTTCTTGTGAATAGATTGAGAGGCAGATTGTTTGTCTTTTACAGATGAGGCATCTGTGAAGCAGCTTTCTGAATGGAGCGCAAGCATCCTGGAAGACCTCAAGAACGCAGACACTCCCAAGGCCTCAAATTCAGAGAGTTCAGGAGGTAAGGACAGTGTCGGCGTGGAGTCAGCAGAAAACCTGATGGAACAAGTTGCAGCTTGAGGCAGTAGCTGAACTTCGCCGGTTGAGTCGCGTTGGTGTCTGAAACCTGTTGCTTGCTTGCTTTATCCAGATGGTAGACCTTGTTCACCATATTAGCCTCATTGAGAGATGAGAATAAATCAGTCCTGATTTGCCTGTTCTTTTCCTCCCATGTTCATCCTTTTTATCTTGATATCAGTACGCTTCGATGCTACACAAACAAAATTTTAACCTTTCCTTCTTCAAGGGAAAAAAGAGAGGCACTTGAACCTACTGGTATATATTTCATCTGCTTCTAGACCATGAAGTCATGAACCAGCCTAAAGCTCTATATACATCGAGTACCGGACGAATCTACAAGGAACAAAGGAACACTATATACATGAGAACCTAAAATACTACTTCCTGAGAAAGACACTCTGCAGATGCCTCATGTGGACCCTCTTTCTTCAGCCTCACTCTCGCAAACCCAAACAACATCCTTTATCTGCGCAGAGAGTGTTTTATAGAACTGCAAACAATTAATGCCGAGTCAGTAAGGTTTACCCATTGGATATAAACTGATTTGCAACTACAAGAATAAACTCAAGGTTAAAAAGACATTCTTCTTTGTTGGGTACTTGATTGTGTTCTAAGTCACTTGCTTAAATTCCGTTTGTGTAGTCCTTCATGGGCACTTGTATAGAGTAAAAAAGCTTCAGGAAAGAAGCTACATCTTAATTTACTGGTGAAATGAGTAAAAGAGCTAAAGAACCACAATATTCAAGAGCAGTACCTTCTGAAATTCCAGAGTATCTCCTTTTGCCTTTTTCAGCTCAACAACAAACAAAGATGGAGCCACTTGGAAGACCTAGAAATGTCAGCCTTGATCAATAATTGCATTACGTTGTAAAAGACATTTCTCAAGCTGCTGTGTTTTTTTCTAACCTCAGTTGCAACATTTAGGTTTCCTTTTCTTCCTGCTTCTAGGTTCTTCATTCGCATCTAGAAAGAACAAGATATAGAATGAAAGGTTTAAGTCATGGGGATGACAAGGACAGTCTCAGTTACTCAAATTCAGATACTTCAAATTTCACAAAACCTATGTTAAAAGTCGTATCCATGGGAGGATGCTTGGCATTACCTTGTAGTTCTTCTTTTGGATGTCAAAGCCAAGTGGCTTAGCAGCTTCTTCTATCCGACTGATGATTTCTTCAGGAGGACATTGCGATGTAAATCTTGTTTCTCTTCTGTACTTCTGTCATTGGTTAACAAATTTTAGCTGACTGCAGTTGCTAAGATTTTGACAAATATATAGATGTTGTAAAGAGATTTATGGGACACAATGCTGCAACAGTTCCTAACCTTATCAGCTTCAAAAAAATTATCTAGCTTCAGTCCCTTATTCAATGATATCAACTCAAATGCGTTCATAGAAGCTGGCTGCCCTTCGATTTCCTCCTTAACTTGTTTTTCCTGGAAATCACAGTAACCATCCATTTTAGTAATATTATCTCAGCCATAAAGGCTAACGGCTTTTCCAGTGAAAACAAGATCGATTAACTCACTTCCGAGTCTCCGAAAGCAGCATCAACATCAGCCAAACTAGTTTGATATTTCTCATCAAAAACAGGTGGCTTGTACCCTTTTTTGAACCATGGATCTTTTAATAGTTGAGGGATAGTTATCCGCTGGTCAACAACAACGAAGAACCGCGTAAGAAAGTACTCCATAATCAATGTACTCATAGACCAAAAAAGTGCAGAGCCACCACTTGTGTTGCATGGGAGCAGTTCTGTTGACCTTTTGGCTGGCTAATTTCAAATTTCAGAAATGGAATGTGAAGTAAAAAAAAGCTTACAGTAGAAGGATTAGGATCCAAAATCCTAGGAATCAGTCTTTTAGCTCCATCAGAAAACCAAGAGGGACAAGTAAATTGAGCTCCAGAGATCTGTCAAGAGAAACAGAGTAAATGGAAATGTACAGCCAGCAATATTGGCATTTATGTATTTTCTTATTCCTTCTATCTTACCTTTTTATAAAGGGCTGAGACGTTGTCATCCTCAAAAGGCAGATATCCAGCAAGCATCACAAAAAGAATTACCCCACAAGACCAAAGGTCTGCAAGCGCACCATTATAGCCCTTATCTTCGATAACCTGGATATTGGGTAGCATTAGATTTTAGGCATGTTCATTCCTGGTTAAAACAGAATCACTGCAAATGTATAAGGACCAGTTACCTCGGGAGCAACATAGTTCGGTGTCCCACAGGTAGTATGTAGTAACCCATCAGCCTGTTGAGTTGAAGTAATCGGAGGTTACAGGTTAATAAGTTAAATGACATCAACAAAAACTACAGAAATGCAATGATATTACCTTCGCCTGCTCAGATATTGCACTTAAGCCAAAGTCTGAGACTTTGAGGTTCCCAGCGGTATCAAGCAACAAATTCTCTAGCTGGCATACATAAAACATCCATTTGTCAGTTTCATGTTTCGCTAAACCAGACACATAAATTGGAACCAAGGGGTTGAGTGGTTGGCGATGTACCTTCAGATCTCGGTGGTATACGCCCCTGCTATGGCAATAATCAACAGCGTTGATCAATTGCTGAAAGTATCTGCGTGCTTCATCCTCCTTCAAGCTCCCACGGGCGGCCTGATTATGAAGTTAGTAGAAATCAATAAAGGCGAATGTAAAAGAAAAACCCATAGTGTAATAATATAAGATTACAAGGTTTCAAGCAACTGGCGTGCTGCTAAAATCCCATCACAGAGAAATATGAAACAAGAGATGCAGTAGTAGTACTAACGATGATATCATGGAGCTCTCCACCCGTGACATATTCCAGAACAATGAAAATTCTTGCCTTGCTTCCCATCACCTGTTATAGTGGAGTCAAAATAGTTAGCTATCAACTGCAGACTTGGATGTAAATATTTCTAATGTAGGCAGGGGATATCATACTGCAAACAAAAAGGCAAAGGTTGGTGTTTAGTCTTTACCTCATGCAGGCGGACAACATTTGGGTGCTGTATCAGCTTCATCGTACAGATTTCTCGTCTAATCTGCCAAAAGAGTTCAGAGCGGCGTCAACATCAAGGTAGAGCATAAGCCCGTAAGCTAGCCCCCTTTCTTGACTATATTTAGAATGAAATACAGGAGCAGTTATTTTTGCGCATAATGACAGCTCAGTTCTATTAGAAAGCATGAGGCAGGGAACTTTCAATATGCTGTGAAATATCTAGGAAACAGAGCATTCATGCAAAGGAAAATTATCAGAAAATGATCTGACCTGCTCGACCAACCCGTGCTTCTGAACCTTGGCCTTGTCAAGGATCTTGATGGCAACAGGATCCCCAGACTCGGTGTCCTTGGCGAACCGGACCTTGGCGAACGTCCCTTCCCCGATGGTGCGCCCGAGCTCATACTTGCCGACTCGTCGCCGCACCTTGAGTGAGGCTTGCCTCCTTGCCTTGTACATCCTCCAGGCCAGTCTTTCCTGGGCGCCCTCAAGCCAGTCTCCAAAGACCTGCCATTTTTGAACAGTTAAGATGCGGTGGAACCGGACAATTCAGCACCCAACACAGGTAGCATTAGACAGCTCAGGCAAGGGTGGAGGAGGAGGAGCAGGACAAATGCTGCTGGATTAATTTGACCATATATATAATAACGCTTTTCATTCACGGCTTAGAAACTGAAACCAAATCGGCAACGTGCAAGCTTCATCTACTGCAGCTTCCTGGAAGCTGCCTGCCGAAACCTTTAAGCATTTATGGTGGCTGATTAATTTCAGTGGTTACTGCTTCGGGGCAGAACGTCAGCAATGGGATCTCGCCGTTAAACGTCCGGATTCTTGCGTGGTTCACGAAGCATGCCGCGCGCTAGGACCCTTGAAATCTCACACAGATATTTGCATCCGGTGCTGTGATGTCAGCCTTGGGAAGGATTCAGAAAAAATTGATGTCAGAACTGCTGAAAAAACCCAAGCCAACGAGATTAACCAGAAAGGATGAAGATTTCGTGCAGCATCTGCGGCGGCACTGGGAAGATATAGGGAGGAAGGGAACAGGGGCAAAACGAACAGCGTGCGAGAGGGAAACCCAAACCCCGACCCGACCTGGAAAGCTCCATAGCGTCATTTCTTTCCCTTTCCTCAAGCGGAACTGGGCGAGACAAGGATGCAAGGCTCTGCTGACGCTGCACGTGTGCAGGGAGATGGACACGCAAGCCGGCCGGGCGGGCAGGAGCCGGAATCCCCTCCCCGGAATGCTAGCCGGAGAGAGGGCTCCCCGCCCTTTCTTGGGTCCCCGACGGACGGACGGAAGGAAAGAGCCTAGAATTCCGGTGCTGGCTAACTAACCAATGTGGGCGGCCGGGGCGAGAACGAGGAAGAGGGGGCGTACCTTGTTCGGAGAGTCGCCGCCGGGGAGAGGAGCGGGCCACGGCTCACGAGGAGGGAGGAGCAGGAGGCAGCCAGCACCAGCAGCCAGCGCGTGCGGGATTGAGATGGGGGATGATGAGTGAGGGAGGGAGGGAGAAGCTCGCAGTTGCGGGGGCGGGGGTGGGCCGGTGGGGGCAGGGTCGCCTCCTGGCCTTTCCTTTTTGTAAGGCGCGTGGCGACGGACCGGACAAACAACCCCACACCCTTTTGCCCCTCGTACCTGCAACGTTGATGGCAATGGGATGCCATCATTAATACTAAATCTAAACCAGTTCTATATAACAATATGGAATTTGGCTTTCTGGCTTTTCTACCTTTCCAAGCAGTGGCGCCTGTTCATGCTGGCCCCTTGCGCGACGTCTCGTGCGGCGTGTATTATGAGACGGAGGGAGTATGCCGAGTTTTCGCTTGATAGTTTGTGAACCGTGGCGAGAGAGATGTTGGCGTGCTCTGGATCACGGCTTGCAAGTTGTGTTATCGCTA